GTGATTGATTTTTGATGGAAAACAAACCAATAGTTTGCGGTTGAAAATAAAGATATTGGAGCGGTTGTCAGATACCGATGTCAGCTTTTTAGACGATAAATGTATTCAGAAGCCGTTTTTTCTCAGCCAAAATGCTGCGTTTAACCAAAATGAGATGTATTTATGTTCTAGTCAAGCAATACAAAGTTGATAATGCTCATAATTGTATTAAAAGTTTTGTAAACCAGCTGATAAATCAACATGCCTAACTACTCAACCACTACAGCCAAACGTATAGTGGACGGTGGTATATGATTTTTTGATATAATAAGAAAAACGTTGAGAATGCTTATGCTTAAGCTAAAAATGTTGTAAGCCAGCTATTTAACCAGTATGCCACAAACTAATCAACAACCACAATCAAACTTTGTGTTGACTGTGGTATATGATTTTTTGATAGATTAAAAAATAGCAAGTTGAGAATGCTTATGATTGTGTTAAAAATTTGTAAGCCAACTATAAAACCAGCATGCCAAACTAATGAATCATCACAGTCAAACTTCGTGATATTTGACTGTGGTTTTTGATAGAGTAAAAAAGCTTGACGTAATAGATTAAAATGAACGCGCACGCTTGCACCAAAATTGATGCATTTAAATGTAACTGCAAGATATCGGAGTACCAAACTAAGCTCCAAAGAGCACAAAGTAGCTGTGAGAAAATGTCAGCCGCGTTACACCAATTTCCTAGAAGTCCACATTTCACTCATATGCGCAGAAAAGGGTTGAGAAAAACTTCTAGTGCAATACATCCGAATATTAGAGATCCGAGTATTTCTGATCTACAGAGACAATTTTCATTCTCTGTGGTGTCATTTTAAGACCTCGATTGTTGGCCAAACTGCTCCTTATGTGCTAGATGTGCAGATACCATTCAAAAAATAACAAATTTTTGATCAAACAAACTCACTTTTGGAGATGTCAAAAAATTGCTCGACAAGTAACAAAAAAACATATCTGATTTTCTGCGCAAAACTATGACGCGAAAAGCACACAAGTTTAAGAATTTTGAAAGCAAACTGAGCTACTTTGTTCCGAGATCTCAATATGCTTTCTCAGAAAATGCCCGCAATGTCAGGAGCGATAAAAACCTGAACATAATTGACCCTGAGTAAAGAGTTAAACTGAGTTTCAGAGTTTAGCTACTTGGTTATGAGATGGGTTATACTCATATTTTCAAATACACTACACTTCATGAGAATAAACAGCTAAGATAGCACAGCTAAATTTTAACGAAGATGTTTTACACTGATTTACGTTGTAGGGTACATTATGACACAAAAACACAGATGCAAAGCTGAGTTTTGCGCCACTTACAATACAACACAAACAAAACATATTAAGACGAAAAAAAAATGTTGAAAAAATCTAAAAGAACCCAGTCAAACTTTGAGGCAGCTGTTCGACAATTTTTGAATTTGTTTTCCCTATGCGGGATGATATGGGTGATTTCAAAAATTGGTCTTTGCTGGAAACCTTAATACGTCTACTGAAATAAGTGAGAGTGAAAATTTTTAGGAAAACGATCTTTCTTCCTATATACATTAAAATTTCCTCACTAAAATAAAGAGTCGCTGCTTCTGTAGGAAAAATTTTCGCAACCGGTCTTTTCGATTGAACCCTTCATCTTAACTTTGATTGGATAGTTTTTATGAAAAACAAAAAAGGTTTCTAAGAACGATCAAAAGTTCAAACACTTGACTTTCCCAAATCTATCAATTTTTTCATGCAATGAGAAGGTCGTGGCCGCTGAAACATAGCATGTAACAAGAACAGGTTTTTTCGATTGAACCTGAAAACTTAACCAAAGAATTGGCAGGGTAGCTTTCGAGAAAAGTCAACAAGTTCACAAAAAAGGGGGCAAAAAATCAAAAGTTTGACTGTTCTGCAAATCATACCTTTTTGTGTAAAATATTTAGACGTAGCCACTTGAGCAGAAGAGATTCACACAATCTGTTGTTTCGATTGAACGCAAGAACTCGGGATTTGATAGTTTAGTTTTCGAAAAAAGCAAAATAGTTTCAAAACACGGTACAGAAACCAATTACTGACTTTTCCGAGGGCCATAGCTTTTGCGGGTGAGCTCCCCATAGCGCGTTTTATCCATAGAACGCAAAATTTTAGATTTGTGAGACTAGTTTATGAGAAAACGAAACAAAATCCAGAAATATGGGTCAAATATTTCCCCGACATACTTTTTAGAAAGCTGTAGACAATAGGATAAAGTACAAAGAGACAAGGTGATTATGCATGCACCCAGGGGAGCAGGCGCTCTTTTCATTGATTCACTTTTTTTGAATTTGGGTAGAGCTTATTTCTACTGAGCTAAAAATTTTTTGAAATGTGTAAAAAATTTCGAAAGTGTCTCAAAAAAAGTAAAAATAAAAACCCAATCCCATACATATTTATAATACCTGATTTTGTCGAATAGAAATTTTTGGCCGTCAAAGTTTCAAAATATAAGTTGACTAAGCCAATGGATCATCAGTCAAAACCATTTAGTAAAAAAACTTATAGAACAACAAAGTTATTCTCAATCAGACATGGTAAAATGACATATCACAGAACTTTCAATTAATGGAAAAAAACTTACTATTAAAAAATCATAATTTACAAATTGGGTTAATTCAAGTTAGTACCAGATAATATAAATGCTATCTAAAAAACGGAAAATCAACTTTTTTTCAAAAAAACTCATTTGAAAAAATAGTTACTACCTCAAACGTGCTCCACCTATTAACTCCAACTACCTAGATGAAGTAATTTTTCGAATTTCAAGAAATTGAGTATGTCAGAGATTAATCAGTCCTGTGAAAAAAGTTATTTACGGTGAAAAAAATTCTAGAACCCGGTTACAATACACTTGCTTATCGCAAGGGTAATTACACGTAAAGTAAATTACAAGCAATGGAAATTTAAATCCAAATACGACACAAGAGACGCTCAGCAGCACATCGCAAACACAAGCAAAGAAAAATCAAACAGGCCAGTTGCCTTAACGACTTATCAACTGCTGATTGAATAACATTAATTTCACGCTTACTCTATTATTTTACAAAACTGGTTGTATCGGGTCAACTTGTTGACTTCTCTTTAAAAAAATTTGAAAAGATGATAGAACTTAATAATACAAAAACAATTAAAAATTTTTAGGAAAATTTTTTATTGAATTTATTCTTCCCGCACTAATTCTGAAATGATTAATGTTTCCTCTACTGATGGAAAATTTGGATAAAATATTTGCCTTAATTCAGGTATTTTTCTCAAGCCCCATTACTTCATACGCTATATAATTCAATAAGAACGCTACCTTCGCAAACAGGTAATTTCCCGTATAATTATCAATATTCGCTGCGACAGTTGTAACAATCATCAGCCAGTTTAAGTTTTCTAAATAAACGAACATAGCCATCAGACAGCCGGAAAAGAATCAAGTAAACAGGAAAAAAATATTTTTTGAAAAAAAATCTCAATTTTCGAATTTTACAACAAAAAATAGATGCCCTTAAAGTTTTTTGTATTTCTACAACAATTTAAGATGGACACTTTTTTGATTAAATAAACCCAATTCGAGAAAACTGGATCAATATATAAAGCTTTTACTCGCTGGGAAATCTGATACTTAAATAGCACTTTCAAAACTAGAAGTCGATCACGTTTTTTGTGACCTTTCCACTTTTGCTGTTCGATAGTGGAAATTGCTTTCGTTTTAACAAAGGAAATGAATTGAACTAATGAAGAAATCACAAGTCAAATCGAGGAAAAATAAAGTTAAACATTAACAAATTTAAGACTTTCTTGGAAATTAAAACAAAACAATCATCAGCAACTGTATAAGCGTCTGAACTATGTTCATCGACTCTTAAAAAATAATAAACTGCAGAACATTCACCATCAAACTTAAGTTTCATAGAGCTTTACCGGACAATATTACTTAAATCAACCAGCGCAAGAAGTCCATTGAAATATTTCGACCAAGCATGAACGATTCGGACATGGTTCTATTCATTCTTATCTTAAACCAAATAAACGCAACCAAACGCGAAACGATACATAGCGTTTATGATGGGATTTTGAGAAAATTATTGATGATCTTTCAAGTCCCTCCCTGAAATAAGAAACAAAAATTTTGCACTTGCATTTACAATGAAAATTGTCTACAGCTCAAGCAAAATCCGTTGTGGCAATTTAGCCAACAAAACTTGAGCGAAGAAACGAAAAACCAACAATTTTTTCTCACAACTTTTTTTTCAATTTCATTGATAATGAAAAAAGCTCAAGTCCGGCCACAACTTGAACCCCAGACCTCAGGGTACAAAGGTGAAGCAACCTGGAAGATTTCAAGAAAAGAGAAGAGAAGTGAAAAGAAGTGAGTTGCATAGTCAGCAAGTGATTCAACTGATTTTGATTAACTAGTTGTTAACCAGAAAAAAGTCTATATTCCTATTTGATAACGCTTGTTAATCGCAAGAGTAATCATTGTACTGCTGTTTAAAACAAATAACTTTTTTCAGTTCATTTAACTAATCAAATGTCAAGGCATATATGCCTTGTACTGCTACAGCGTCCCACGGATTCAAATTGCCACCAAGAGTAGCACTTTTATTGGCGACTTAGGTTGGCAAAAAAGAAAGATCGTACAAATGCACTCCGCAAGCAAGCTGGCTAGTGTAAATACCGTTCAGTCGTGATTCGGATTGATCAAAACATTGATTCTAAATTCCAAATTTAACTGAATAACAAATTGAGTGTTTTAAAAGCTATTATAACTTCGCAATTACCCTAATTCCTTCGCCTTTAATATAAACATTTGGATATTTAAAAAAACTTAGACCTGACAAAATGTCTCCACTTAAATCAGTGAGGACGGAAATGTCTGTTTTGTCCTATTTGCACCGCCACCATCTATCCTTGTTACATTTTGTTCTTTTGTAGTTTTGTCCATTTAGATTTTTAAAATACTTCTGGGAAACATTGACTTTCATACTTCTTCAAAAACAGCACAAACGAAAACAACATATGAGTTTACAGTCTAATATAGTTTTTTTCTTCTGTTGATGGCAAAAAATCGCAAATTCTAAAAACTGCAGTCACTGAAGAGAAAGCTCCCAGTGATATCATTTAGATCTGCTTCAGTTTTCTGTAGACAGCTAATAAAATTTATTTGTTTCTCTGGGATTGGTCGAATTGATTTGCGACCGATAATTATGTCGGAACAATCTGAGATTTCTGAGTCATTTAGCATCGAACTTTGATTAACTGACAAAGCAGCTGCAACAAAATTACTTTCTGATTTTCGTTTTTGAGATTTAATCTTCTGTTCGCTTAAAGCTGATCCGTTTGCATGAGTCGCATGAAAAGATAGTGTTCCACAATCGGAAGCTGTCGATTGACACTCGTCGCTTTTGGAAGATTCTGTTGTTGAGTTTGCACTGTAATTTGGCTCTTCGCTTTGATTGGGTATGGAGGGCAAAGACACGAATTCGTTTGGATTTGACCAGTCAAGGTGAAAAATTGGTTTGCTGGAATCTACTGTTTGGTCTGTTCGTTCTGAATGTGATTCACTTTTGCTGCTGTTTTTTTCGTCTTCTTCGATTTCTAAACTTGTTTTGCATGTATCCGGTCTGCTTGTGTCTACCGATCCGATTAGCTGTTGATTTGTTGAACTGTCTTCGAAATTTACTAAAAAATAGAATTTTTCGAAATAACAAAAACTTTAAACACCTCAAAATTCAATTAATACCTCTAATTTTTTTTTCAAAAAAGTTAAAAAAAACAATCAAAACGTTCAGCTAGAATTACCCAGTGAAATATAAAACAAAATATTGCACGTCTATCATTTAAAAAATTTAGGACTCCAGCAATAACTCACAGTTCATATAATAAATTAATGCTTCTTAAAGGTACATTTGATCAATGTGACTATAATGCAAACAGATTTCGTCCTACAAAAAGATTGACATTATTGTACCATTTCTAAAATTTACCAGCATATTTCGTACCATTTTTGTAACTCGAATAATTCGCTAAAACAAAACCCACAATCGGGCTGAAAGCTGGTGCGAGATTCCCAGTCCCGAGACACGAGCTGTTTCTGAAAATGCCTGTTGGATTACCGGCACGTCCACCGCCAGGCCATTGTTTGAGCACTTGTAAAATAGGACAAAATCTGTCGATTTAAATTTTGGGAACTGTGTCATGTCACCTCAATTCAATTTATCTTAGTCAACAGTAATTAGAGCCTTGTAAGATACTTTTTCTTGTTCAGTTTGTGTAGAATTGGTGATTCTACTGTATTACATGCTATAGAAACCTGAGTGTAAAATTGGTAATGATGAAAATGGGTGAAAGTTGCGAAATTCAATTTCAACGTAAACCGACTGTATGAACTTGTAGCAATGAAATTCAGTGACAGATAAGCTTAGTTTGAGAGAACAAACAATCGTAATCGGATTTGCACATTGAATTTGACCTCTAGGGCGAAGAATTGGAAAAAAGAAGAAAGCGCTAAAATTCTGGAAACCCTTCCCCGGATTGGGAACCACTGGTCCGATCCTTATGAAAATTGGTGGGTGACTAATAGAGATGATTTTAGCCGGGCATGCAAATTTTCAGACCCCGGGGACCCCTGGGGGTCGAGTGATAATGATTTCCGAAAATGCAATTAGCACTTTTTGTAAACCGGTAACTAATGGTCAGAATGACTTCATATTGCAATATGTTGTAGCCCTAGGCGAGGGAAGATCACCACCGGGATTTTGAACGCATCCGGTTATTACTTCCGGTTTTACGCCTTATGTAAACAAAACCCACTTTTTGTTATTTCTCGACCCCTGATAATGCTAGGAGGCTGAAACTTGGGGGGATGGTAGGTTTGGGGAAGACCTATAATGTATCAATGTTTGGACCCAATCCGGCGGCTACGTCGGAAGCTATTAGCACTTGAAAATTGAATAAGGCTATTAACACCTGATAGTGATAATTGACTTGTGATTTTAATGCACCAATGTGAAGGGGGGCAGAACCCAGTAGGGGGACGTCTAGTGACCCAATCCTCTCCGGAACTTCCTATGGGGTGAAAATGGCAGTTTTAAAGAAAAGTGTTAATTGACCCAATATTTTCGAAAATATGGGAAGGGAAGGTCCGATATGAATGAAACTTAGTGAGAATGATCTCCCATCGAAAATAAGACGTTTGGACGCGTTTGACCTCATTTGACCTCGGATGACCTCAAAGAGGCCATTTGGCAATTTTGACCCTAAGACCCCGGAACCCCCTGAAAAGCGATAAATTAGCCTTGTAAGGACCCGTAAGGGGTACCTACCCACCAGGCGAGACCCCTAAATCGAGAGTTTTAGTTTTGACCTTTGTACGCGAGCGAAAGTGATTTTCTGTAATTAGCAAACATTGGGGTCAGCTTAACCCACTCCACTTGGACTTTCGATAAAACCGACAAACAAGTAAAAATACAGCCCCGTACAAAAATTGGGAATATCTATGGAAGGAAATGGGAATTTCGGGATGAAGATTTTATGAACAGCCTTAGCATATTAAATAAATTCTTGTGGTGTTTTTTCGGATCAAAACGGACACGGGGAAGGGAATTACCCAGCCTTTGGACTGAGGGGAATAAAATTTAAATGACCAAAATGGAAACTTTTCAAGTATCACGGAAGTTAATTTACCGATTGAGTGAGAACTACCCAATTCATAGGAAAGGGAAAAAGCTAGGAAGAACTAAAATAAAATCATGCAAGGGTTCATTTGTCAAATACGATTGGGAGCTGATTTTGTAGTTGAACCCAATGTTTGCTCAGTATGTCCTGATTAACTGAGTGGCAGCTAGTTAAGTGAATGTTAGTAGTGATAAGGAACGGTAGGCCTCTGACCGAACCGAAAGTAAATAAAGATAACGATACGCGATTAAGGTACAACCACCGAACTGGTCAGAGCAATTGATACTGAAATAGAGTACAGTTGGTTCTCAGTTAGTTAGAGAACAGTGATAACTACGATTGAGAGTAGTTGGTTCTCAGTTAGTTAGAGAACAATTTGGGCTACGAGCTACGGTAGTCGCTTTATTCTCAATGTAAAGTGGGAACAAGTTGGAAGACTTGTTAACGTGATTTAGTTAGTTAGTCGATATAAGTTAGGCTATCTAGAGGATAGTGGGATCGTTGTTGAACGATCGATATTGAAAGAAGTTCTCGAGGAGAGCGTTAGTTAGTTATTTAATAGTAAGGCGTTAATTGAACTGCAGTGAGCAGGGGGTTAGATAATAGTAATCGCGGAACCATTCCATTGACTGAACGATTGATTGATATTGCAGCCATTTATAGGCTACTCTGTATTTGGTTATATTTATTTCTTAATTCAGTCTTATTATTGGAATTGTTGTTGCGATCGACTATTGATTGACGAGTGAGATACAGTCGGAAGAGCACAGATCACGGGGCAAGCAGCATAGTAAGATACAGAGTAGCCAACCACCAAATCAACCCTTTTGGGATTGTAAACAGTACCGGGAATCGGTTGCCCCACTGACCCCAGTACTAAAGGGAACATATTGCGGCGGTGCGAAGGACGATAACGAGTGAGAAAAGCCGGCCTAGAGATATTGTGAATTCCCCCACGTTTACAGTGGCGCTCCTGGGTGGGCATTATTTTGGATTTTACCTGCAACGACGATTTGTGTGTGAAGACGAGAATTGCGAACGAACAATCGACAGACGATTGCCATGGGTGAAAGCAGATTGAGGCAGATTATGGCTCCCTCCGACTATCCCAGAGTGCTGACAGGAGAAGTTGGAGGAGAACATTTTGCCCCCAGATCGGAGTCGGCTAACAAGGGACGAACTTTCGTTTGGGGCAGTGTGTGTGACGAAATAGTGGACATTGAGATTGACAATAGGACAGATTGCAACTTGATATCCGAAGGTTTGCTTGAAACCCTCGGGTGCGAAGAAGCTGTCCGGAGATTCAATGGAAAGTTGAAAGGAACATTCAATGGAAAAGAACGAAAGGTCGAGGCCCTCGGGTACATCAGAACAAGAGTCGGATTCGGTAGCTTTGAGGGAACCTTCATGTTGATCGTTGTCAGTAACCGAGTTCTCGATTCGGATGTAGTCCTGAGTGCTCAGGGACTTGCGGAGTGTCACAAATTATTCGTAAGCCACAAAAAAAGAGCGCTGTGTCACGAGGGCAACCTAATGGAGCCGACGCCAGTAGTTTTTGAGAAACTACCAAAGACATCAATGATCATGCTAGACGAAGAAACGGTTGGGACGAAAAAGAAGGTATCGATGTGGAATGCGGAAGAATCGAAGAAGCCGAGTACGGGTATGGATAGCGAACGGATCACGCCGGTCGAACCCGATTCAACGACGGTGACTCACTCGAGACGAAGTGATAATGACGATTCATCGGGCAGCAGAATGATGCTGGAAGCGGCTGAAGTGCCAACCGAGGTTAACCCGAAGCTGCACTTGATCGATGGGTTCGTGGACAACATCCTAGTTCGGATGGAGTTGGAAGAGACTACTGCAGTCCACATGATGAATGTATGTGCTTTCATGATCCTAGAAACTTCCCCTCAGCTTCAGGCGTTCAATGGGAAAATTCACGAATGTTGGGACGATCAGGTTAGTGACGTTGTTGTTTTGGGCCAGGCAGAAGTGGAAATGCAGATTGGGGCATTCACCGAGCGGCTGGATGTTGTTGTGGTGGCGGCTACTGAGATAGAAGTCGACGTGGTTCTGAGCCTCAAACAATTGGAAGGACGACACGGGATGCTCCTCGAGCGTCCGAGAGGTGCTACGTACTGGAAGGGAAGAAACGGTTCAGGTGATTACCGAAGATTGAGAAGACATGATCCCTCATCACTTCGAAGTTGTGCTTGACGGGGGCAGAAACCCCGAGGTCCCAAGAGCAACGAGCAAAGGAAAAGACAAAACAAAGCTAGCCGAGCCAATCCACGAAGGGCTGGGTGTATTGGCAGAACCTGTTGGCAAAGATGGCATCACATCAAGACTACGTAGCGTTGAAACAGAGCTTACTGTACACGCTGAGACCCAATGTTCCGGTTCTGTAACTAGCGAGAGTAAAATTGAGGACGCAACGGAAGTCGAATCGAATGCAGGGCGGAGAACCAGATCCGTTGAAACTCGCAGGAGGTTTGTGAATGCATTCGCCAATGGTGTGTATATGGATACCGAACTTGACGACGAGATTATGGGCAATTTGATGCGACTGGACGCTTACCAGACGTTGCAGCCACGGCCAGCTATACTGCAGTTCAACGGAAGATTGATTGGAAGATGTGACGGAAATGTCCGAGATGTCGAAGTGTTGGGATTAATTTCGGTGGAAATCAAGTTGGGGAGACTGAAGAGGACATTCCCAGCAGTATTATTGGAGAACCACGAGATGGACACGGACATGGTTCTGAGTACTCGATGGATGAATGAATGTTTAGGAAGTTTCTATGATGAGCAGTCAAAGCAATTTTTCACGAGTTCCGAACCAAATTCGGCGGTTTCATTCGAATGGGAGTCGTGCCCAAGGCCAGAAAATTGAACTCGCAGAGGAGTCTCAGACACAATTAGTAGATCGGAAAGACGGAGATGAAAAGCCGGTGGTGGGACGCCAAGTGAAGGAGTCACGAGTTGTGACCCCCAAGAAT